TGTGTGTGTGTGTGTGTGTGTATGTGCGCGCGCACACGCGCAACCTTGTTTTAGAAAAATAACAAAGAGTAGGACCCTGAATGATATCTCTGGTTTTAGCAACTATGAGATCCACCATTGAAAAAGAAAAAGAAAATTAGGGTGAAGTAAGGAAGACTTGTATGTAAATTACATCCCTTATGACTTTCGCTCTGATTCTACCACAAACACATAATTGTCTATCTAATGGAAACCCTTTTTGAGTCCCCCTCTGCAGCACAGAGCCCTGTCTAGTGTTCCCAGACTCTCGGCCCCATCTTCCCATCTCAGAAAACCTACTGGGATACTACTGGTTGTCCCCTCCTGCTCTGTGCCCTGGAAACTCAGGACAGTAAGCTGGGGCAACTGCATGGCTCACTGAATTTTCTTCTCTTCTCTCATCTGGACAATGGCTAATGTCCAGTGCTTTGAAAACGATTGTTTCATGTATGTTGTCCAATTTTTTTGTTGTTTCAGGTAGGATGGTAAATTTAGCTCCTGCTATTTCATCATGATCAGAAGAGGATGTTTAACTGGATCTATATTAGTTTTAAAAATGAATCTCATTTGATCCCTATTTCTTACCTGTAGAATGTACCAAATATATAATATTGCTCTACTATTAGAAGATGGATGAATCAATATTAAAATGTTTAAGATAAAAAGTTCACTGTCTTTTGGAAGTTTTTTTTTTTTTAGCATCAGTTAAAGGGAAACTGTTACCACAGATAAACTTGCTCATCAAGAATCAGGAAGTACTGATATCAGCCTTAGATTGAAAAATGTTGCTATGAGTAGAAGACATATTTTAGGTTTATGATTGGAAACATAATTGTCAGAATTGTCTTTTTGGATTAATTTGCTATACTGAGCTTCATCATTTGATGTGATGTCAGCTACTAATAGCACAATTGCTTTATCACTAAGCACTCGCATTACTTTAGCATTTTTAATGGGCTTACTAGCTTTTGCTATAATGCTAGGAAATGCCATCGTCATTTTAGCTTTTGTGGTAGACAAAAACCTTAGACATCGAAGTAATTATTTTTTCCTTAATTTGGCCATTGCTGACTTCTTTGTTGGTAAGTTACATCTCTTTATTTAAGATAATCTTTTCCAATTATAATTTATTTCTAAAACCTTAACTTTTGTTATTTCAAGGGACTATGTGAAATTGGGAATGGTTAAAAACAAAAAGTTTAGGGATTAAAGTTTAGGGGAGGCTATATAGCACTTTAGGAGAATATTATATATATTTACATATATACATATATGTATGTGTGTGTGTAAATAAGGTTTGTAAGAACATTTTCATCTGAAAACAGTTTATTTTCTTTTTATAAAATAAAACAAGTTCAGAATATCTCCAAAATTATTTACGCTAAGAGTTGTTTGTTTCTGAAGCTATTTCCTTGTATGTTTAGGTTTATAAGTATTCTTTAAGTAAGTATAGTTTCCTTAGTACTGCAGTATTGGAGTAATAGGAAATAACGTGTATGCTGGTAATCAGCACAATCAGAAAATGGGATATTCAGATTAATTAAGTAGTATGGCTAGTAGTAAAAATACTATTTTATATGGTATAGAATATTATGAAATATACTAATACTAAACTACCTTGCATATAATATGGTATCATAGCATTTTAAGAGATCATAGAAATCAAATTAATCTTTCTTTGAAAACATGTACTTCATAACTTTTACTGCTTGATGATCATTGGTTTTTAACAATGCTTATCATAATAAGTGAATGTGCAGAAGTGTCAGCTGATGATATTGTTTTATAGGAGCTTCTAGCATAATTTAATCTGTCATTGTCTGTAGCTACATAAATGCTTGCAATTATATTAAAATAAAACAAAACTCATGAAATACTTAGTTTATTGCCTGGAATACAGTGTGTATCTTCCTAAGTGTGGGCTCCAGGCTGGCTGGTGTGCAAAGGCTGTGTAGACACAGTAGGGGATGAAGTCAGAGTAGTAGGAATCTATAAAGTGAAGGCCCTTAAATAATAGTATGAGTCTGGGCTGGAATTTATTCAGCAGGCAATGTGGAGATTAAAAAATTTTTAAAGCAAGTGAGTGATTGGATAGATCAAAGCTTTACATTGGAGGCATCAGAAGAGATGTAGGTGGGAGAAGCTGGAGCAAGGGTGGGGGTGGAAAAGAAGTTCATGCGGCAGAGCTGCAAGGGTGGGCTTGAGCAGGAGAAAGAGAAAGAGGAGTTAGAGATGGAGTTCTGGGGACTAAGAAAAATATAAAACTCTTAATAGAAAAAGGGAACATTTTGGGAGGGCACTTTATGCTTTCAGTGTCATGTCAATAAAACTTATGGAAGAAATTTCTAGCTAAAGAGATTGATTTAGGAGTCATATAGAAATGACAAAGTCACAAATAAAGGTGACCAATTTTTTTTTTAATATTTCTGTATTCTAACCAATATAGAAATATTAAAAAAATGCAACAATTTCCCCATTTCTTTCCTCAATTCTGCCTCTTCAGGTAACCAACATTAAGAACTTGATGCAAATTCTTCCTTATCATTCTCTATGCTCACATAAGCATGTACAAATATACAAATGTATTTATGTAAACATAAAGAATATTTTGCTATGAATATATGTATCACTTCCCTCCTTCTTCATAGAACTGTATAACTTTTAGATGATACCAAGTACTTACAGTTGATTGTGTGTTTTGATTAACCCCAAAGGAATAAGGCCCTGAATACTTGATGGTAGGGAGGGGTGGGGTAAAACTGTACCCAACCGAGAGCCTGAGGCCTATCGCTTTTGAACAAGATAATTCCAGATAAGAACAAAGTGTCTCCATGTATGGCCCAAGGTCATCATCATGACAGCCCCACCATCATGGGCTTGAGAACCACAACATAAAGATGTGGTTTGCCTTTGAGAAATAGCCCTGCATATGTAGTTATACACCAGACCTGGTGATCCCTCTCCATCACCAGGCGGGTGGGAAAAAAGATGGCTCTGCTGCTGATAAGAGCAGTCAGACATGGATCAGTTTCTATTAGTCTACCAGTCTCATCTTTCACATAATCCCTGTACCCTGCCAGCTTCCGTCAGAGGTCCACTTATTGAACACAATACAGGCATTCCCCAGGGATATTGTGGGTTTGGTTCTAGACCACCACAATAGAGCAAATATTGCAATAAACCAAGTCACACAAAGTTTTTGGTTTCTCAATGCATATAAAAGTTATGTTTACGCTATACTTGTAGTCTACTAACTGTGCAATAGCATTATGTCTGAAAAACAATGTACGTACCTTAATTAAAAAATATTTTATTGTTAAAAAGTGCTAACCATCATCTGAGCCTTCAGTGAGTTGTAATCTTTCTGAGGGTGCAGGGTCTTGCCTCATTGTTAATGAAAACGCAGTTATTGCTGAAGCACAGTGAAGCAAGATATGCCAGTAGTCACATGATAACGTAAGAATTAGGACAGCTTCTGAGAGCTTGTGGTAACAAAATTTGAGTTTTATGTCAACACTCTTCTTTCTCCTTTGTCATGTGTGTGCCTTTCAGCTCTGAGCCTGGAGGACCTCATGGCGGCAGTAGTGGACCAGAACTGAGTTCATGAGAAGTGTTCTGTAGCTTTAAGCCAGCAATTCTTAATATTTGGGGTCATGAGACCTAGAGCTCCACAACCATGTGGTGATGGCAGGGCAGATTAGAGCGTCACATGGGCTCAGTATTGTGGGCTTTCTAGCAGAATGCCCTCTTCTCATGTGTTTCAGAACTGGCCTCCTGTAGAGAATCTAAATTTGTGGCACCTGAGTAGCATTCCAGCCTGAAACTGAGTGTTGGGAAGCAAAGATTTATTGAGGAAAAAGTTCAGTACCAAGTACAATGATATATATAAATCTCATCTGTACACTATTCTAGGGAAAAATATACTCTCTATATTATATCGATATCTATAAAATTGGTATCTCGTGACTGATGTTTTCATCTATTTCTTTATATCTACAATTGGCCTTAATGGCCTACATGACCTTGTGATAGATGGTCCAGACAGGGTCTTCAAGGGCCAAAGTGGTTGCTGCTGACAGAATCTGAACCGTATTTTCAGGAGGCAAAGTTTATCTTTAGTACCTTCATGCTCAGTTTATGACTCTTTCTGAGTTAGTCAGCTCAGGCTGCCACAACAAAATACCACGGTTTGGACTTATACAATAGCAATTTACTTTATCATGGTTCTGGAGGCTGGGAAGTCACAGATCCAGGTGCCAGCTGATTTGGTTCCTGGTGAGAGCTTTCCTCCTGTTTTGTAGATGGCTGCTTTCTTGATGGATCCTCTGAGTGTACATGGAGAGAGAGCCAGCAAGCAAGCTCTCTGGTGTTTCTTATTATAAGGACAGTAATCTTGTTGGGTTAGGGTTTCACCTTTATGACCTCATTTAACTTTAATTACCTCCATATAGGCCCTATCTCCAAATATAGCCACCCTGGGGGTTAGGGCTTCAACATGTAAATTTTGTGGGGGACACAAACAATCAGTCCATAGCATCCACTATGCACTCACTGTTATGCACACAGTATTCTGTTGGCCCCAAGAATTCACTGGGTCTTTTAGCTCCTCCCACCTTTTTTTGATTGTTATTTTCTCATGGACAATGTAGCTTCTTAGCTGGCTTCAGAAAGAAGGGGCAATACCAGATTGGTGGCAATTTTCAAGCAAACTAGACTTCCCGATTTTTATCTATTTTCTCGTCAAATACCAGTTTATTGTGAACTAGGAACTCTTGAAAGTGCTGGGGATATAGCAGTGAAAATACAGGCAAAAATCCCTTCTCTCATGGTGCTTCTATTTCTACCGGGGGCGGCGGGGAGAGGAGTGGGGTTGGCGGGGAGACAGACAATAAACAATATAAACTAATACAATTACATAGCATTTTAGAGGGTGATGATTGCTATTGAAGGTGGAGGTTGCAATTTAAACTTCAGGAGTAGGGTTCACTGATCAAGACACATTTGAGCAAACAGAAAGAGCACTCTGGAGGAAAAGCATTTTATGCCCAGGAAAGTGCAAGTGTCTGAGACAGTGGGTGTGCCGTGTATTTGAGGCCAGGAGGGCTGGAGTGGAGTGAGTGAGGAGTAGAGGGAGTAGCAAGACGTGAGACCAGAGGGGTCAGGGGCAGCCAGGGTGGATAAGTCGGTCTTATGAGGCTTTTCTTTTCATCCTCTTTCTGTTTTTTTCTGTCCTCTCCCTGTTTCTTCACTTCCTTCCCCATCTTCACCACCATCTTCATCTCTACGGTATCTTATCTCATTTTTGTATGTAAACCTAAGTACAGGATATGAAATCTGCATTTCTTTCCACTGGTTTTTAAACCACACCATTAATCCTTCCCTTTCGTTTTCTTTTACCTTTACTATTGCTCTTTATAATGGGTTAACTTGGTTCTGAAATAAAAAACTAGAATTCCCACAAATGCCTGATAAGATATAAAGATATTCAACAAAATAAGATTTCTCCTGAGCTTCCACTTAGTAGATTGTTTTCAGTGAGTAGTGCCACCTGTCTGAAATGTTAATGCAATTAAGAACCCTCACAAAGCTGAAGGAAAGGGAACTCAGTATAGTCATTTTTCAGTTAAGCAGGTTTGATGCCGAGTGGCATCACTTACGTATTTGTTCATTCAGGGAAGGGTTACTGTAAAATCAGGAGTTCTAAAATCTCATTGCCTGGTTTCATATCCGATCTTTCACTTGCTAGCTGGGTGGACCTTGAGCTAATTATGTGTCCTTTTTTGAGCTTCAGGGTCTTCATTGGTTAACTCAGTATGGTCCCTACCTCACAAAGTTTCTGTGAAGGTTGAATGAGATGATATCTGTAACTCACATAACACAATGTCTGGCATGTGGTAATTACACAATACATGTTAATGGTTACTAATCTATTTAAGCCATTTTGGTCAACTCTAGATGTGAAAAAATACAAAAATTGAATTACATCATGGTCCCAATCCTCAGGAGAAACAAGTTAAAAAAGATGACGATATATAATAGAATGTTTTTGTACATGAAAGAGGAGGAGAGGAGTCACGTGCCAGGAAAGTGCAGGTGGCAGAGGAGTCACTTCTGCCAAGGAAGTTCCAAGAAAGATAATGAGAAGGAAGTCATTTTTTGAACTGGGTGAAGAATGAAAAGAAAGTAAGTAGACTTTTCAGTAGAAGACAGAAGGACATTCTAGGAGGAAAGAATGCTGTTGGCAAAGGCGAAGAAATGTGAAAATGTGGGATGTGTTTGAAGGAAGGATGGCCCATCCTGTTTGGGTTGGATCATGAACATAAGATGATTTGTGCTGTTTGTGGCTGGAAATATATGTCAGGACCTGAACTTAATTTGGAAAGTAATAAGGAGCCATTGAAGGTACGATGTGCATGAGAGCTATTATAAAAATGGTAAAGAATGTGTAGGAAATCAGTCCTGAGTTTGTTGATGAAATTCTATGAATTCGTAAATTATAATCAAGCCATTTTTTTGTAAATTCAGATGCATCATTATGTTGTTACTTTTGCCTTTTTGTTTTCATTGATATGTGCTATTTTCTTACCCTTATTTTTTCCCTGTACAGGTGTGATCTCCATTCCTTTGTATATCCCTCACACGCTGTTTAGTTGGCATTTTGAAAATAAACTCTGTGCATTTTGGCTCGTTACTGACTATCTTTTGTGTACAGCATCTGTGTATAACATCGTACTCATCAGCTACGATAGATACCAGTCAGTCTCGAATGCTGTAAGTCAAACCATTAATTTATCTTCCTTAGAAGAGTATATACTTGTACATTTGGGGGCCCTAAGCAAAAATTTTTTAAGTCTAATTTTTTGTTTAATTGACAAACCTTAGAGGAGCCTGATTATTCTTTTGTTATCTGGCATTAAGTTCTCACTGGCCCTTAGTGAACATTTTCTGCATCTAACTTGGGTAAGTCAACCCACTTTGTGCTACTAAAATGAGAAGGCATCAAAGAAAATCCAAAGCAAGTTGTCAGAAGTGGTATGCTGAGTCTATAGTAGGTTGGATATACATGAAGTTCACAGTAGGTTTATCAATTTTACTCCTTAGACAAACTGAGACTTAAATATTTATCTCAGGATGGGACTTGGTGGGCATATAGAAAGACTCTCAGACATATGAATGTCATGAGAAAACCAATTTCAAAGCAAAAGGCAACATACAGGGAAGCTATAGGTATAAAGTAGAACCAACCAGAAAAGTCAAGTCCCAATGACAGTTTAAGACACATGCCAAAAAAGCCTGAATTTACCCTAAGATTTGGAATTGTGTCATTAACAAGTTAGTGATGAGTCTTAAGCAAGCTAAATTTATCAGCAATGGAACAAAGGAGGAAACAACAACAACAACAACTATCCTTGAGGCAATCAAGGATAAGGAGTGAAAGGAGGCCGTGGAAATATGGGGCAGGGATCTGAAATCTTTGAGGCCTAAATGGAAAACTTCCTTCACACCTGAGTTCCATGGGCCTAAAACTTTGGGGGTCTATTGTGTGACAAGGATTTTGCTAAGTGCTGGGATAAAGAAATGAATCCATAGAGTCTCTATTTTTGAGGCACATAATAGTCTAATGTAGAGATGGGTTTATAAACAAATGAGTTCAGTACAATGAGCTAAATATGGTGCTGGAGACTTTGAGAGGACAGTGACACCTCTGGCTAGGAAGATCTGTGCAAGCAGACAGGATTGGGAAGGTATATCGGACAGGTGAGGATAAACTGCTGTAACAGAGATGCCAAAATGCTGAGGCTCAAATAGGATAGAAGTATATTTTCTCCCACAGAAGAGTCCAGGAATGATGGGACGTTCTGCTCTGGGAACTCAACCAGGGACCCAGGCTAGTGGAGCAGCTCTGCAGCCTCTAGGGAAAGGATCAGCAAACTTTCTATAAAGGGAATTATGGTCTCTGCTGCAACTGCTCAAATCTGCTGTTATAGCACTAAAACAGCCATAGGTAACATGTAAAAAAAGGTGGAGGGACTTCACTGTGTTCCGATGAAACTATATCAATCCAAACAGGTGGTGGCTGCATTTGTTCTATGGACAGTAGTTTGCTGACCCCTGCTCTAGGTTATTGCCCTCCTCTGCATGGTCAAAGCCAGGTTGTTATGACTCTAGGTTCTAGAAAGGAAGGGCAAAGGGCAGAAGTCGAAGGCAAAGGATTTTCTTTTAACCAAGTAGTGTAGACTCACACAATCATTTCCACTCACATTTTTTTGGTGGAAGTTAATCACACGGTCCCAACTCACTGCAAGGAAAGTGAGGAAACATGGTCTCTAGCTGAGCTGCCATACGGCCAGAAAGAGGAGAAGGATGGAGTGGTGGGACAGTCAGACATTTGGCATTGGGTACTTCATTGGCACCAGAGTCCACTGCAGTTTGTACTAAACAGACTATGGAGAGAGTGCAGAGCAGTTTGGATGAGCATTTCAGATGTCTATAATCTCATATTTTTCAAATGGCAGGTTTTGACCCATTATTGAGTCATAAAGTCAGTTCAGCAGATTGTGACCACTTTTTTAAAATGAAAAAATACAGAAAGGAACAGTATAGAATATAATAAAAAAAATTTAGAGTATAAAATATCAGGGTACTTTGCACATAATAAGGGTAAGTATTGAATACTTTTGTCTGTATATTTGGTTAAGATAGAGAATGTATTTCTTACTTTAGGTCATAGTCAAAGTGTTTGAAAGGCAGTTTCAGAAAGCCATTTTTCCTTTCCTTTCTTTCTGGGTTAATATTTCTTTTTAATCTTTGTTGGGTGTTTCTAGGACTTACTTCACTGAATGTCCAAACTCTCGGGTCTACCTCAGGTTTGTGGAGGGTAATAGAGAGCTTGTCCACTTAGAAAAAAGTTCTTAGAAGTTACAGAGAGATGAGGATTGATGTGCAGAGGGAAAATAGGTTTTTTTTTTTTTTTTTTTTCTGGTCTTGCTCTGAGGAATTCTTCTGGCAATATAGGCTACAAACTTGGTGAAGGCCAGGTCAGCTGGATCCTGGGTCTCTAGTACATAGCGCAGAGTCAAGTGTGTAACAGGAGTGCCATACATGAGTGCATGAAGGCCTGAATGGGGTGCTCAGGTAGCATTTACACCTCTATTAGCTGAGTTCCAACACAGCTGTGTGAAACCAGAAGGAATCCTTCAAAGCCCACTGGGGCTTGTAGGAAGTGCTCAGGGGGAAGCTGGCCTCTTGCTGTAGCTGAAAGTAGAGAGGACAGTGTGATAGGGCACGGTGGGGCGTTGAGCCTGGGAAATGGAAATCTGACTAATTTTGAAAAGAAAGACTCAATGCAGAAAGTACATAAGATTATAGTGCTCTGACAAGTTTTCTGCAGGGGCAGATTCTGGAGCTGAAACAAGAGGGGGTGGGGGAAAGTAGAACAGTGTAGCTAAAGGAAATGGAAATTATAATGTATGCAGAATTAAGATAGTAAGAGGAGAGTATTTCCTTACCCGTAGATGAAAAAAGAAGATCGATGGCAAATCGAGACCAAAAAAATATTGATGCAGGGTAAGAGGCAGTATCCTGAATAACAGACATGATCTGTAGTAAGTGAGCACTGGGCAACTGACTGATTATAGGGAGGCCACTCCACTGTCCCGAGCCTGGGTTCAAGCAATGCTTGAACTGTCTGTATGTCAAAAATGCTGTGGAGATATGAAGAGATTGGTATCATCTTCACATTTCCCTTGGATGTCCATGATCCCATTTGACCTTATGGATAATAGAAAAGAGATGACTTTCTAGCATATTGCATCATATCATTACAAAGGCTGAACAGAGCAATTTAAAAAACTAAATGCAGTTTTGTGACCATTTAGGTATTGTTACCATCTTCATAATCATTAGATTTAGTGCAAGAAATGTATTAATTAGTGGCATGAGAAGCAGTAGGCAAAAAAGCCTATTGTACATGGGAGCTTATGGTCAGCACCATATGCATTTTAGTTTAGCCTCAGAAACACCAGTAATTTGGGGGGGAAAAAAACCCTCCACTTTTCTGCAGTTAAAAAAAATAATTCAGTTTAAAAACAAAAACAAAAAACAGGATATATCAAAATTTCAGGATATATCAAAGATCATGGGTCCTGTGATCCAAGAGCAATCCTCATTCACAGAACCTCATTTTCTCTTATAGAAGCCTTCCCTGTGACCGAGTGGATCTAGAATATTCTTCACCCTTAAAAAAGACTGGCACTCACCATAACATGTCTCTCAAAGCAGCTAGCCACTGTAGCTTTGACACTGTTTTTGTCATTTGGAAACATTTATAGAGAGAAATGATTTGGTAATCCTCGATAACACTGTAGTATCTCTCCACAGCTGGTTTAAATTTCTTTCTTGTGCATCTTCTTGGAAGTGATATGAGAGTTTTTCTTTCTCTTTTTGATCCCGCCTTAAGGCATCAGCATAAATCGCAGAGTTGAGTCCTCCTATATTAGAGCCAGGAAAGCCAGTTGCTTTTAAACCTTTTTGACTGTGACTACAGTGAGAAATACAATTTACAATGTGAGTCAGTTCATGCATTCCTCTCTATATACATATATCTATATCTCAGAGAAAAAGTTTCATCAAATAATACATACCCTAAAAAACAAAACAAAACAAAAACAAAAAACCCAACACACACCCTTATGGTGTGTGATACATTCTGACATTGACTATTCTGTTTTATTTTAAAAGAAATGCTGGTTATGACCCAGCTGGTAGATGGGGAAACACTGTGAAAGGGTGCACCTAGTGTCAGTTGTTTAACAGTTCAGATTTTGGCATGTTCTATAGTGTCAAGAGATTTAACCTCGAGGGTTATAGCCTTCGCCTTGAAAATCACTAAGAAAGTCTGTATCTTGGTCCTGGCCCACATCATGTTCCCAGGTCCAGTTAATGTCTTAACCTCTTGCACGTCCCTGAAACTCCTGAGGGCCTATGGTATGCTTTATGTAGTTGACATACGTTTATAATATTAAAAATGATTTATTTGGCCTCTTTTAGGTAACTTACAGAGCTCAACACACTGGGATCTGGAAGATTGTGGTTCTGATGGTGGCTGTCTGGGTGCTGGCCTTCTTAGCTCATGGGCCAATAATTATAGTTTCAGAGTCTTGGAAGACAGAGCAGGGGCATTGTGAACCTGGATTCATGTCAAAATGGTACATCCTTGCCATTACATCAATCTTGGAATTTCTGGCACCGGTCTTTTCAGTGGCCTATTTCAACATATATATTTACTGGAGCCTGTGGAAGCGTGGTCAATTCAGTAAGTGGCCAAGCCAGTCTGGACCCACTTCTCTTGCCTCTTCTAGTCTCTCTGGACACTCATTCAACTGTGAACTGTTTTCAAGGACATCTCTCACTAAACTGAAGGAGGGAGCAGTATCCCTTCGTTTCAAGAGACAGAGAAGAAAGAGTAGTCTCTCGTTTTCTATAAGAACCCAGAAGAATAGTGATATAAATACTTCCAAAATGGGTTCCCTCTCCCACTCAGATAACCTAGGTTTTCAGCGACGGGAACATCTTGAACTTCTCAGAGCTAAGAAGTTAGCCAAGTCACTGGCCATTCTCTTAGGTGTTTTCATAATTTGCTGGGCTCCTTATTCTCTGTTCACATTTGTTCTTTCAATTTATCCCCCGAATCAGCGCCCCCAAACTGTTGTGTATGATATCACATTTTGGCTACAGTGGTGTAATTCCCTTATCAATCCTTTTTTGTATCCATTGTGTCACAAGCGTTTTCAGAAAGCTTTCTTGAAAATATTTTGTACAAAAAAGCAACCCATACTATCACACAATCGGTCAGTGTCCTCTTAAAGATAATTTTATTGCTTACATACATTTTAGTCTTAATGTCACCTAAATGAATTTGATCTGGCTTTCATCTTGCCCTTTCCACTCTACTAAAACAGTCTATAGAATCGTAATACTTGAAAACTTAAAAAAAAAATTGGAACCTGAAAGTCAGTGGAAAATTATTCCGGTGAATAACAGTGTAATTAGAAATTGACAATAATATTTTTGTAAGCTCATAGCCACAAAAGCACTGTATTTTTCTTAGTCATCACCTCTTTTTTTAAATCTTTTTTGATCTTGATATAACATTAATTGTGAAAGTCAAGAGCTTTTTTCCCTCAATGTTCAGTGTTTGCTACAGCCTTAACTAAATTTCCCTTTTTATTTTATAGTGATGAAAACTGGTCAAGTTTTAAAACCATTTGCTAAAGTATACAACAGAAAAAGGAGCTATATGGCCCTCTTTACTGGTGCTGGGCAACTCTGTTACACTCAGTGGTCAGGAGAGTTGGGGTTTGAATTGGCAGGAGCAGGGAGTGAGGGAATACCCAGATGAAAGAGAGCAGGGCACGTGTACTTCCAGACTCTGTATTCCTAATCTCAGGAAAGAAGGAAGGGTGGGATGGTGGAGGAAAGAGCAGGTAACTGCAGCTCTCAAAGGTCTTCAGTTGAAGGTATCTTGGAAGCCCTGGCAATCAAAGGGTGAGGGACAGGCAATGGTCAGCAATAGGTTCGAAGGATGGCTTTCCTTACCTTTTCATGCCCTCTTCTCTATAATTCCACGTCAGCTTAAACTTCTCTGTGAAAAATATGAAAGAAATAGAGAGGCTGAGATAATAAAAGGACTACATGATTAAACCTGATGTACCTGGTATACATTCACAAAACTTAAGGTGTCAATAATTATTAATAAAATACATTTCTGTATTAATTTGGTGTCTTTAACTTGTGCGCCCACTGTTTTACATTGCAGCACTCAGAGAAATTTTTTTTATTATGCAGTTAATGTAAGTTGTACCTTACTGATGAGTCACATTTCATTAATCTGGTGATGTTTTGTTATTTTGTCATTATTATTTTTTTCAGTGTTCTTTGCCTATCTTGTCATAACATTTCATTGTGATTTCATAGTTAATTTCATCTCTTCTAGAAGGTTTTATCAGCATTTCTTCCATAACTTCTCAGAGTTTCTATACAATTTAGTCATTTTCATATTTCTCAGACCTTTTAAACTTTTGATTAATTTCAAACGCTAAAATATGAAAATCTTTTAAGTACATAATGATTAGAAATGCACATAATTTTTATGTACATTGTGCCTTGCGTTAAGTTCAAAATAGAAGATACATGCTTAATATCCAACAGTAATTTTTAAAATTTGAGAAATAAACCCTCATAAATGCACAACTTTTTAAAAAAGTCATTACTTCATTAGCTGTTGGTTTTAACATTTATAAATTAGTAGTTGTGAATTTCATATAATTATTGGAGGCTTAAATGTTTATTGAGTGAACATTTGGCCCTATGAAAACTTTTTCCAGTTGAACCTCGGGGGGTGGGGAGAAACATGCCTAATGTTCATATGTATTTTCTAAAATACATAAAATACAATATATTTTTGTACTTCGTTCAATCTGAGATGTCGTCAATGCAAAACGTACTGTTGTTCTATTTATCACTGTAAAAAGAGAAAGTGCTTCAAATTTTCTATGAAACAATACTTTTAAAAAATACATCAATAGTAAGTCTTATTCTGATTTCAGGGTTGTCGAAAAATGAGCAATGTGTGTCTTAGAAGTGCTGAAATATGATATATGTACAATAAATATGCAGAACAGGGCTAATACTTTATAAAATGAAAGTTTGAATAAACAAATACTTTTGATGGTACATTCAAGTAGTCATTATGTAAATCTTTATTAAGAGTCTATCATGTGCTAAATATTTATTGCAAAGATGTTTATGAACTTGCCAATATGATTGAGATTCCCGAGGTAGGAATTTGACTTTGAGGTTCTCTTAATACAATGCTAGGCACCCCATAGGTGGTCAGTAGATAGTTGTTGAAAAGACATGCATTAGGCATTTTCCTTAAAAATAAAATGTAAATTCTAGTTTTTAAATCTAAATATTTTAAATTTGCACTGGAGGAACTTTAAAATGTGTTTTTTATTATAACAAAAGTTGTATGTACTTATCATAAAAGGAAAAGACAATAATAAAACAATTCCTATACCCAAGAAGCAACTGTAATTATTAGCTTGGTGTATATGTTTATAGAGGAAATATATGTAATCCCATTTTTTAGAAACACACGTTTGTATACCTAAACTTCTATATTAACTTTTCACGATATCCTCAGGTAAATTCTTTCATGAAATGAAGGCTGCTATTTCAGTATGAGTAATTACCATCCCCTTCCCCAAATAGAGCTGGTTTATAAATACTTATTAAATTTTAAATTAAAAATACTTAATATAAAATTGATTTAAAATGCTTCAATACATAATATTTAATTTTCAATAAGTATTTTTAAAATTTTAAAATACTTATTAGTTCATTTAAAATCTGGACCCAACTTCACTGGCATAATTGGCAGAACATTCCTTAGAACGTTGGTTCCAAAGTGTCGGCTTCAGTTGGCCTGGACAGAAACAGATTCAAGAAGAGCAAAGATGGATTTGGGGACATAAATGCCAGTTATGACTGACACTTTCGGTCTAGGCTTTTTATGAGTCATGAGGGCTTTAAATATAAATGACGGAATAATCATAACCATTTTATGCAAGTGCTTTTTGTGGATTTTTGGTATCTACCTTCCGATAGCAAAGATTTTGGCATTTGAAGAAATGATTTTTCACATTATAATTTCAGAAAAAGAGAAATTTTAGCATGCAGAGTAAACTTTTTATTCTAATAATTGTTATCAGTCATGGTTGAGTCAAGAAAATCATGTTAATTATTTCAATCAGAAAGAATTTAATATAGGGAATGGATAATACAGGATCCTGGGAAGCTGAAAGAGCAAGAAGTGAATGTTGACATAATCCAGACATTAATAACTTTAGAAAGCAATTATCATCTTTAGGGATAGCGAGAAATAAAAGAGAATCTAAGATCTTAGAGAAGCCCCTGGAGAATTGATGCTTGGAGCTCTGATTGATGCATGATGCCAAATAGTTAGGGTTTGGACTGCTAAAGGAGTAGAACCAGCTGGTGCTCAGACTACCATGGGAGGTGAGGCAGGGCAGCCCTGGTTGCTGCTGGTACCTCTGATTAGGCACAGCAATGAGCATTATCGTGAACTGATACTAGAAGGATGCCTAGTCAAGTTAGAAGCACTAAGTGAGTTTTCTTCTCAGTAGCTCCCGCCTTCCAATCTCTTGCTAGTGCTTCCCATTAGTGGAACCTAATTGAAAGTCAGTTGTCAAGGGAGTCTGGGAAATATATGACTCCTAGCCCCAGCCTAGTGCAGTATATAAAAAGGTAGGCTTGGAGCTAAACGACAACAGATAATTGGCAAATCCTATCCTGTATTTAAGCATAATAAAGTAGAACTTGGTCTTCAGGGACTTAACATTCACAGTTTCAACTGTATATAAGCAGCCTGCTAGTTCATAACATTGTAATTTATAATTTTGTTAGGGTTGAAGTTCAAATCATGTCCCCTTAGGCCTGTATGCTGAGTGATTTGGCTGTTAAGCACAGCATCCTCATTCTTGACCTCTATTCTTTTCACATGGACTGCAATGCTTATGAAGTGTTCAACATTTTTGTTTTGGTGATGTAAGTGAGGGAGGAAAGAGGAAGTCCAAGGAAGTATGGAACTCAGCAGTGGGTCAGCCGTATAGTTGATGGGTTCACTATACATTTCATAACAGAGATTCCAAGCTGGTGGTTCATGGATGTATTTGGTCTATAAAATGAGTTGATTTTATTGTTATTATTTAAAATTGAGGAATTTAATATAAAGTTGACATTTTCAAGCTTTTTTGAAAAATTGGAAGATCTAACAACAGTGGGCTCATATTCCTTCAAAAAAATAATTTGCTGAAGCTGAGCAGTGGCCACTACAGTTCCACTTTTCTTCATTTAGTCACTTTCGTTTACCTGTCTGTTTCCTTTGGGCAGATGAATTGTAACCCCTGTTCTACACATAAAAAAAAATAAAAGTGATTCCTAAAACTATTTTAGCGAATACCCTAGAAGGCACAAATATTGCTTTTTCTGTTGGAAATTTTATGTGTTCTGCATTCTTTTAGTTAGGATTATTTGGTTACAAGTGACAGAAACACAATTTAAACCACTTGGGCAAAAGTGAACAATAGGTTCTCATTACCTGAGTGCATAAAGACAATGGTGGGAGATGCCCCAGGGATGACTAAAACCAGAGACTTTGTGACTTCATTTTATATTGTGGCTTCTCCATGAAGCTAGGATGATGAATGCTCATGTCCTCCTTGATCAGACAGGAAAAAGGTGTCTCTGAGTAATAGTGAAGGAAAAAAATCCTGGAAAAGATGAACTAAGTACCCAATGGGTATCTTGTGTGGATCTCCCAGGATCAACCCCTATAGGGGAAAGTGGATACTCACGCTGCCTACATGGGTTAGTTCCCCTTCAGACTAGACTCTGAGGAGGGGAGATAAGATCTACCCCATTCAAACCATGTGACCAAAAAGGGAGGAACAGTTTCTTCAAATGAAAGAAGATAGAGTTACCAGAAGGAAGAAGCGATACTAAATGTCAACTTTCAAGGGGTATTCAAAACTTGTGGATGTCATGAACAACTGATTGTCTTCCTCATATATTCTGTAGACTACTCAAACGACCACAGGTCTCTGCCCCACATTTTACAATGTTACTTTGTAACTCTTCTCTGTAAGAGGCACTTGCTTTGGCCATTAAACTTACTAATAGGCAGTAAAAGTAACATCATGTCAGTGTCAAGCCTAGGCCTCAGGATGAGAGACTACGTGGAGCAGAATCAAGCTATTGCAATTGAGCCCATCTTAGAACAG